ATTTTTTTTTAAATGGTTCTTTGAGTATTTACATCTAATTGTCTGAAGCTTAAAAAAGCATCTTTCAGTTGTTAACCTTAGTTTAAATCATGGCGAAAAAATCTATTTTGAGTTGTTCGTATTATGGTTGTGATCAGCGACTTGTCAAAAAAATGCTTATTATTATTAAGAGATAAATAAAGTTGGAAGTCCTGATTAAAAAAATAGTAATTTTGTGCATGTTGGTAAATAATTGAAAGAATGGTACTCTCTAAAGGTAATTTATACGATGACAGCATATGCATGGACACTAACTGGGCGTTTATCAATCTTCTTCGTCCCTTGACTTAACAACTTGTGCTAACAACAAGTGAGGATCAATTAAGTGCACTTCTTGGCTTACATTTACGTTGTATATGTGGACATTGTCAATCTTGGACTAAGATTTTTGGAGGTTGAGGCTCTCTTTGAGACGTAAATATAAATTCAGATAGTCAATAGTAAATTACTGAATTCAAGATAGCTTCTTTGAGAAGGTACTTGAATAATATTTGAAATGACTTTTTTAAAACGCAAGTAGTACATGTACAGTGTAACTAGGTAAGTAGACAAAAAAATAAATTACAGGCTGTTTATATAGCCTGCTTATAAATTTTAAAATGGAATATATTATTTTGATTGGCCCTCTGGAGCATTGTTATTGTACATGTCATCATAGTTCTTAGCTCTCCCCTGGGAGAATAGTGTCAAATAACTTCTACAATCTGTTGCACAATGAAGCCATTAAATGAGAATTCACCATATTCACCAGTTCCAAATTGACGCCCAGTCAGAGGAGTTGGTTATATGAAACGGCTATATTACAATTATGCAGAAAGTGTATCACACGGTTTTGACATTCACAATTTTAAGACAATCATCTTGAGAATACCAAGAATATTTTGCACAATTTTGCTTTGGTGGGACACGGATATTGCCAAACTCTTGTTTATTTCATACAATAGCAAACGTAAAAAAATTGATTTTAGCTAGGTGGTAAATAGGACTAGAGAGGAAAGTATTTCTTGAAATATTATAAGAATCACTTCAGACAGTTTTCAGCATCCCTCCCAGAAAGGGCTACTTGAAAAAGTTTAGTTGAAAATAATACTCCGCCATGAAAACCTCTTGCTAAATCTTGTACCAAAAAATGTTCAATTTTGTTTCGACCTTGACCCCAAAGTGGACGGAATGTTTTTACTTACAATATCGATGTTCTTCATATAACTATGCCCAGGGGGGAGAGGGAAGGTACAGCAAAGTTTTATACAAGGAGGCTCTGGCCCAAGGTACAAATCCTTTCCCATTTTGTATAGTGTTTTTTCCAGAAAAGGTACCCTGTCACATACATGTAGCATAGAGCTTTAAACCTCTTTCACACACCCACAGTAGACCCGCTACATCTCTTTTCATCAGATAAGTTAGCAATCAATGTTTGAAATCCCTAACTTTTTTATCATACCTCCCGCCTGTTAAAAAGTGTACCTTTAGGCAACTATAACAACAAAATAAAAAGGGTAGTGCAGATTGTAATGTAGACAATAAAAATAACGAATAATGTTCTTTCTTGGAAATGGAAATCACATTAGTTTATTCCTATCTTGGCAATTCTTTGTGTTAATTTCACTAGCAATGCAGATATATTCAAAAGGATTGTAGACAGGTACAATTTATATCTGTTTCAAGTTTTGATTCGATTGTTTACATCTCGTTTCTAGAAGCGAAATAAAACTGTACTTACATTACCAGCCAATATGCGTGTTTAACATGGCTTGTGTTTAACAGGATTGGACAGCAAATCTCTCTCGCAAAAAGTAGATCTACACAGTCTCTTGGATGTTAATTTGTCTATACATCACTTAAATTGGTTAGTGGATGCTGACTTGTATATCATCCGTGAAGAAATGTTCACTCTGGCCGAGCTGCATAGAATACAGAAGTGAACAAGCGAACTTTCGAGAGTGATCAAAATCAGTGGGGGATCTAGGGAAGGGGACCCGGGCCCCCCTTATTTTGGGTAAAAAAAAAAAGAAGAATATCACGGAAGGAAGAAAAGCCGACAGGGCAAGCAAAACAAAACCGCCCCCCTCCCCCCTCCCCCACTCCCTTAGCTCTAAGTCTGGATCCGCCACTGAAAATTATGTAATCAATACAACAATACTTGTCCATTGACCTACTCATGTCCTCAGCAGTTTTTGCTCGGTTTTCCCTCAGTTAAACTTGTTACTATTTTTCACCAGACTACCGACGACCGGCGAGCAAGAGCAAGATGAGCAAGAGCAAGATGAGCAAGAGCAAGATGACTTCTGACTACAAACTCACACTAGTGAAAAAAGCTGCAATCGCGCAACCCAACGCGACGAGTGACTCTAACCTTCGTCTTGCTGAATCTATGACTTATCCGTCCAATAAGCTTAAAAGCGGTTCTCCATCAATTTACAAGCTTCATATGAGAGAGGACATGAGACGCACAGAAGGCATGATTGTAACACAAAGTCTTGGTAAGCCTTATCAAATCGGACGCGGAGAAACCGAGAAGGTTTTTATGGTGGTAGGAGAAACAGGAGCTGGTAAGACGACTTTAATCAATGGCATGGTTAACTACATCCTGGGAGTGAAATGGAAAGATGAGTTCCGATTTAAGGTCATTATAGAAGAAACAAAAGCAACCCAAGCTTACAGCCAGACTCAGGATATCACTGCTTATACATTTCTTCCCATGAAAGGTTCAGCTGTGCCGTACACATTTACCATTATCGACACTCCGGGGTTTGGTGGAACGGAAGGATTAAGAAGAGATAAGAAGATCACTGAACAGATAAAGGAGTTCTTTTCCATCCCCCCACCAGATGGGATCGATCACCTCGATGGCATCGGTTTTGTTGTCCAGGCCTCTCAGGCACGTCTCACCTCAACACAGTAGTACATATTTGATTCTATCCTGTCGATTTTTGGAAAAGACTTCTCCAACATCATTTTCATGATGATCACCTTTGCAGATGGCCAACCCCCTCCTGTTTTGGAGGCAATCAAAGAAGCCAATATCCCAAGCCATAGTGAGAAGCATTTTAAGTTCAACAACTCAGCTCTTTTCGTTGAAAATCATACCAAAGAATCCAAAACAAATTTTGATGAAATGTTTTGGGAGATGTGTTTGCACTCTTTTAAGAATTTTTTTGAACAATTCCCAATAGCAGAGCCTGTCAGCCTTAGGCTCACCCGAGAGGTCCTGAATGAACGAGAACAGCTGCATATGCTAATAGAGGGCCTAAATGACCAAATTACTCTTGGTCTGAATAAATTTGAAGAGATGCGGCAAGAACAAATTGTAATGCAACAACACGAGAAGGAGATTGAAACCAACAAGGAGTTCACGTACACAGTTGACGTGACGAAATCATTTTGCACCCGTCTAGCAGAAACTGGACTACACACCACCACTTGTGGGCCTTGCCATACAACATGTCATACCAATTGTCCAATTACTGATGACGCAGTGAAGCATAAGTGTTTCGCTATGGATGAACACGGTAACTGCACAAGATGCCCAGGAAAATGCAAGTGGTCAGATCACAAGCATTTCCCATGTCTGATCGAGTATAAAACGATCACCGAGACGAGAACTGCAGAACACTTGAAAGAGAAATATCAGAAAGCTGTTCAGCGAAAGGACAGAAGTGAACAAATGATAGAATCGATAAAAGAATCTCTCAAAAATGTTCACGTCGAGGTTCGCGACATGATAAAGAGAGCTCAAGAAAGTCTTCGCCGTTTGGATGAAATTGCCCTCAAGCCCAACCGGTTCACGCAAGTAGGGTATCTGGAATTGCTTATTGAATCTGAGAAAAGAGAATCCAAACCTGGATGGAAGCAGCGTATACAGTACCTTGAAGCAGTCAAACGTCATGCTGAGATGTTGTCCAAAGTAAAGAATGAGAAAGAAAGTCAGAAACTAGTCCAGACATTGTCCAGAAATGGGGAAGTAAGTGAGGAGAGAAAAACAAGTGAGCCACTTGAGAAGTTGTCTCCCGGTGGAGACAATTTTTACTCTCCAGTTAAGTGGGATACTTCAGATAGCTTAGAGTAACCCTGACTACTCCCGAGCTACTGTTTCTCAATTAACATGCATAAAGGAGTTCGTCTCGTAGGCCGCATAAACATGACTAGTGCATCGATTATACCCTTGAATTTGTGCAAAATTATCACCAATTAGTTCCAATTAACTTAACGGAAGAGAGAGATATTCAACCGATGATATGGCAGATTTTTTGATAGTTTGATGTTTCGTTTAGTTTGTGTTTTTCTGCCGTGCTATGCTCAGGTACTAAAAACGCTTTGTTAAGTAATAGAATGATCGTGTGAACAGTTTTTTTTTTTTATCATCATAGAAACATGTACGTATTTAACCTCAGTTTAAGGAAAACAAACTGGAAGACAAAAGTTTACAGATGTCTGCTCGGGCCGATTTCTAGAGGAATGTGTCATCAAAAACCAAGGCTTGTTCTGAAGTATCATTGAGACTATTGCCTTTCTGTACATGTGTGATACACGAGGTTTGTGTTATGACAGTTCAGACCCTCGAATATAATTATGTTTACAAAGATATCTGCAAAATCAAAGTTTTCGCTCAGTAGTTTAAAAATGGCACAATTGGTCAAAATGCACATGTCTTTCATCGTCTAACCATTTAGATATGCTATACCCATAGATAAGTCTTTTTCAGAATCTTTTATTTGTCGAGATATTCGTATACTAGAAGAGTCATGACCCTCTCAAATCAGTTGAAATTTGGTATATTATTAAATCGTGATGGTTGTATTTTTCAAACGGCCAAAAAGTATACAACACGTATTTACTTCAAGGTGATATTTAGCTCAGAATAATGATCAAAGCTTAAATTACAAACAGTTTAAATCTAAAATCAAGGCGAGTTTCCATCTTTCTGTACTGGCCTGCTGAAAATGCTCAATTTGGAAAAAATTACATCGGCTATCCTGGTTGATAGAGCAGTATTTCGGACTCTCCAAGATTTCTCTAAAATCGCTGACCAAAAAAGCTGACCAGAAGGGTCTTTTTGACGCGCTAAAAGAAAATTCGAATTTTCCGTCCCGTTTTCAAGTTCTCCATATTTACAGGCAGTGGTTCTTAATCAAACCTAAGTTTTAAAAGTAAAATTAACTCAGATTTTCTCCATGATAAAAAGAGAATGTCAACTGGAACACGTTTGGCGCTTTATAATCAGAGTTTTTGTCACGGTAACAATATAATTGAATGTTTAGAAGTAGAAACCAAATTAATTGAACAGATTTTCTTCGATGACAAATCGAAAATTTCTAATCACGGGAACAAGCTAGCCAAAAACGTAGTTTTTACCTAATAAGGATGAAGTAGGCTAAGACGAGCAGGGTAATAATTGAATCCAGTCTTTTAAAGTAGTATTAACCGAGCAGATTTTTTTCGATGAGAATTCGGAGATGTCTGAAGGAAACAAACTCCGAAAAACCCCAACATTTTATATTTGCACTTATCATAGTGATTTGTTTTCTTTTGAAGGAAAGTTATAATAAATCAGTAACCAAGCAGATTTTTTCCGCGAGAAATAGTAAATATCTCAAGAAAAAAACTGATGGAAAACCTAACATTTTATATTTGTATCATTCATAGTGATTATTTTATTTTGTTCTTGCAAAGAAAAGTCATATTTAATCAGTAACTAACCAGATGTTCTTCGATGCCGGAGAAATCGAAACTCTCTGAAGAAAAAACTAGAAAATCCAATATTTTATATTCACACTTTTCATAGTAATTATTAAATTCCTTTCTTTCAAAGAAAAGTTAATTAAAATCAATAATAAGTAGACAACCAGATTTTCTTCATGAGAAATGGAAAAAGTAAACCCAACATTTTATATTGGCACTCTGCATAGCGATTATCAAATGCATTTCTTTAATTTCAAAGAAAAATTACAATTAATCCGGTAGCCAGCCAGATTTTCTTCGATGAGAAATCGAAAATGTCTGAAGAAAAAAGTGGAAAACTTAAAGTGATACTATGACGAAAATCGCATCTCTCCTATCTAAGCCATTTTAAAACATAAACAAGTAGTCTTTATGAGAAGAAAAATGCCGTTTACTATTTTCAAATGTCTCTTTTCGTTCCTGAGATATTCAAGTTTTTAAAATATGCAAATTAACCAAATGATGACGTTATACACTCAACCAAATTTTGATCAAATATGATGAAGAGAGATATCTCAGCCAATTTGTATCAGAAATGTTTGATT